TTACCGCTGTTAATAAACATTCCAAAAAGATCTCTAAATTTCTGGATGATGAGCTCCAGAGAAAAGGTGCAGTTTAAGGCTCTACAGAGCCAAGAACTGAACCCTGAGAGGAGCTCCCTCAGTCAGCTGGTTCTGAGGCTTACTGATCCTCAAACAGCTCCTAACACACAGTAGCCTCAATCCAGCACTGCTTTACAGCCCAAACCAAACATTAATCACAACATCAAAAACAGCAAGAATGATTATCTGGAACACTGGAAAAAGAAATTAAAACTCAGAGTAAATTAGAATTTAAGGCCCTAAAACAGAATATGAATTGGAAGGGTATCTCCTGACTGAAATGCAGAGCAGAGACAGATCCTGATTAAGTACAGACTCTGTGACCACAGTTTAACCATAGAACAGTGCAGGCATAAAAAGTCCTTGCTGCCCAGAGAGGAGAGGATGTGTCATCACTGTATGGCAGGTGATGTTGAGACAGAGAAGCACTTCTTTTTCACAGTGAAAAATTCAAACAGACAAGGGATTTTTACACAAACAAATAGAAAAAGCTGATCCTAAATTTAAAAAAAACACAAGTTGAAAAATTACAAATAATCCTTGGAGAGGGGCACTCAGCCCCCTCGCTGCTATGCAACAACATGTCACTGCCTGAGAGACAGTGGGTAACATACCCCACCATACTGACCCCCACCCCACATACCCCACCCTACTGACCCCCACCTCACATACCCCCACCTTACTGACCCCCACCCTCCATATCCCCACCCCGCATACCCTCACTTTACATACCCCACCCTACATACATCCACCCTTCTGATTTCCACCTTACATGCATCCACCCTACTGACCCCCACCCCACAGAGTCCTACCAAGAAAGAAAGGGGGGTATAGAGAGAGATATAGAGAGAGAGGGAAACAGACAGAGAGAGGGAAACAGACAGAGAAAGAGAAACAGACAGAGAGAGAGAGAGGAAACAGACAGAGAGAAAGTGAGGGGGAAACAGAAAGACGGGGGTGGGAGGGGGCAGAGAGAGAGAAAAGGGGGGATCTGACAGTTTGAGTTGAGAGCGCTTCTTCGTTTCGGTTACACGGCTGCTGTGAGACTGTCTGTTATCAATTTTTGAACATTTGCCGTTTCTAGCCCCTTTCTGCCCACTAGAGAGTGGGGGGATTGGTTTCAGGGGGAGTGCGTATGTGTGTGCGCGTGCGGGTGTGTGAGAAAGGGAGAATGTTTTTTATCGGACCTGCAGGCTCCTCAGTGCCATCCCCAGATTACAGCAGTGGAGAGGGTTTGATTGACAGAGTCTGGCCTAAGCTGGCCTCGGGGGACCGGCGGGGATTTGCACTGACTGCTCAGTCTTCTATTACCCTTACTGTTCTCCCGCGCCAGGGCCGAGCGCGCGGCACGCCGAAAAAGCCCTTCTCTGCATAATTTAATGGATCACCCTCTATCTTTCTCGGGCTTTCTTTCTCTCTTTTTTTCCCCTCTCGTTGGCAAGAGGGGGCTTCCATTGTTCCCCGTAAAGGTTAACGAGGGATGTGCGCGCGAGTTTATCCACGAAGCCTCGTTTATATGATAATTGAAGAAATGCTACAGGGGGAGTTCACAATACTCCAGATCTCATTTGTTTATTAAACACAAACGCGACTAAGAGATGAGAGAGGAGAACCAAAATAAACTTATGTCAAAGGCCGTCTGCACCAACGTGCCAAACCATGCAACAAGAAGAACAGGAGAAGTTAGCCATGTTAATTAGGGACTCGGATATGAACGGGCACCGGGTCAGATGGGACAGTGTCAGGGGAACAAGTCAGGCCCTGGAAGATAGAGCCATTTCCTTTATTCAGTTCCCAACCTACATTTATATGTCTGAACCCAAACCTATGCTAGGTCTAAAACCACATACTACCATACTAATTAGTATGTCAAATGTAGTATGCCACCTTTAGAAGTCCATTCATCTGTATAGTATATATAGTACAGTAGTATGCAGTTTTAAACACAGCCCTAGTGTCCCATATTATTTGATAGCCCATAATACAGTACAGGGCAAAAGTCAGGGGCCACTCTTTCATTTTTCATTTACACTCAAAACAGCCTTTAAGTGCAAGTTATTCATTCTTCAGTGTTAGAAAAAAATATGTACATATCTAACATAAAATAACACAAAGGCTTCCAACAGTATGTTTAACATCAAATCTACTGGTATTTAATGTATCCACTCTTTACTTTTGTACACTCTACTGCCACTTTAACTCTTCCATCCTTCCCATCTTAAAACCCAGCAAGTTACATTGTGTCCTGCCAAGAAGAGCTGTTCCCAAAGCTTGCACTGACATTATATTCCCCTTCAAAGAAACACTAACACTCACACAAGCAACTACACAAACTCACCTCAGTTGCCTTACACATTTCTTTCTCATGTACCTCTAAAATGGCTAAAGGAGACATTCCTGAGGAGGAGAGGTATAAAGTAAACCTCCTGCATCAGGAAGGCAAAAGTCAAAGGAAAGCAAGTGAAAAAAGGAGAGTCTCATTGGGTCTCCCCTCTAGAGAGACAACACATGGACTCTGCCACTTGGGATTGGCCCACTACAGTTCTAGCTCCTCCCTCTCTCCTGCCCTTTGGTTATCTGTCACACCTGCAACTAGTCCATGGACTCCTTGAGGCACACATACATGTCTCTCACTTTGGGCTGCCAGGCTGAGATGTCTTTTGCATATGATTTGTAGTTCTAAGCTATATTTTTTTCATTTTTTAGACAGTGGCTTACTTAGTTTCTAGTTCTCTTGCTTATCTGGGTCTGACCACCGCTCATGTCCTGTGGTTTGTCTCTGTATAGATGTGCCTGTGTTTAACCCAAGTGCCTCTTTGATGACTTCTGGGAGTGCCCAATAAACAAGACTCTGCATGTGCATCCTGTCTCTCAACCCCACGCTTTACAGAAAGTAAATTATTAGAAGATTAAAAGAGAAAATAGAACTCCTAACAGCTCTAAGAGAGCTGATAGACCACTAAAACTGCCACCATCAGATACACAGCACTGAAAGCTTTCATCTTTGAAAGAAAGGAGAAGATTAAGCTCCACTTTTGCTTCAGATCTGAAAAAATCCACAGGTGTTTCTGTCTATCCTTCCACTGTGAAAAGACAACAACACTCGTCAAAAAGCTGTTACTGAAAAAAAGAAAATAGACAAAAAAGAAAATCTGCACTAGAACACTGAAACTGGAAATCTGAGATGTAGAATAAGGTTTTATGGACTGAGGAGTATTGCTATTGAGATTATTTGGTATCTGAGAAGCGGAAAATGCAACAGTGGAGGAGTGCAAAAATATCCCTGCACATTTCTTTAAAAAAACTAAACTAAAAAGAGTCTCCAGAAAAGAATGTAAGTAATAAAGGCAAAATACTGAATAAATACTGAAAAGCATGATATTTTTACTAAGGATTTTATTTAGTTTCCTGTTAAATATGTTTTCTGCTGACACTGAAAAATAATTTATACTTAATGGCATTTTGACAGGAGGCTGAACATATAAAAGGCTGTCACTGACGTTTGCACAGTACTGCACCTCCATCTACCCCACAGCTATCACTGATGAAAATCTGTCATCTTTAAGTACAGGAGAAGTGGAGAGCTACAAAACAGCATATAAACATACAGCAGGAGTATAGCAGTGGGATAGTGACTCATTCTTTCTACTGAGATACGTAGTCAATGTGAAGCAGAAATCATAATGAGCTTTCCGTACTATGAGCTGATTAGCGAGCCATACAAAGTATTTACTACTTTAAGAAGTCTGAACATAACATACATACATTTTGTGAATAATTTCTTTGTCTGGCTGTAAGCTTTGGTTGAAAACCACAGGTTTCAGCTTGCTTACTAGTAAGACAGCAAAGTAAGGAAGTTCAGTATCAGCAGTCATTTATAACAGAAGGAGAGGTTTGGTACAATCTTCCAGTCTCACTTTCAACATTGCAAACCAAACGGTAGCATTTTTAAATATTCTAAGGGGGGGGCTAACTCATTCCCTCACCCCTCCAGGGGCTCATCTGACAAACTTCACTTGAGCTAATACAGTATAACGCAACAGCCCTTAACATGGCCTCAGGGATTCCCCCTAGCAAGCTCAGTGTTTTCATTCGATGATAGGTTGGGATGGTGAGAGGGGGGTGTGGAACATGAGATTATTGGTTAATCTCAGTTTTTTGCCTGCTGGTGCACGGTGATGTAATCAAAACTCAAAAGGTGTTTTAAAAGCAGGCTAATGTCAATCTATTTTCATGTAAAATTACACAAAAATATTCACTGACAAAGTAAAAAGATCAGCTTGACCTCATTCTACTCGACTCAAGTCCTAAAATATTGATTACTGAAATAATTATTCCATCTCTAGAAAATCTCTCATGAAATGGACTTTATCCATCATCTATATTTTAATAAAACAAATGCATTTCACAACATACGACACATTCTTTACATTGATTCCAACATAATTTGTGTTATTAATGGCGAATGTTTTATCAGATTGAATAAAATGTGGGCTTACCTGATGTTAAACTAATCTTGAACAATGCCTATTTATCTCAGCACCAGATATAAAGCTGTGCTCCAAATCCAATACTAGTCCAGAATTTAATTTAATACAGTCTATTTAATTAGGCCTCCAACCTTTGAGGGATGATACAGTGCCATAGATTAAATCAGGGAATTTTCATGAGTGTGTGTAGCTTTAATCCAATGGAGGAGAGGGAGCATAATGTTGGCCTGTAAGATGGTGTGGTTTCCATAATATGTGAGAACACTGCTCTCTGCTGGATTGCAGTGGCAATGCAGGTACCAGAAAAAAAAAAAAGATTTAGCAGCATTTTCCAGGGCCTAGTTCCTCTGACTTAGCATTTAAACACAGCCTGAACCTAGGAGAGTCCAATTTCTTTCTAATGATGGAATACTACTTTTCCTTCAAAAAGCCATGTAAATCCAGAGGCCATCAGCTGGATCTGTATCAGTTTATTATACATTAAATATGACTGATGGAAATAATGGCATGAAAATAAAAATAAAAGTAATTTGATCTGGGAATCACCACACTGAGTGAAATTCTGTATGGGGTTAGAACAGTGGTCACTCACACATGCACTCACACACCAAGAGCTTCTCTCTCGCTCACATTCACACACACATACCAGTCACTTACACAGAGAGTGCCTCTTTCAACTCTATTAAAGTGACATTTCAAACAACAAACAAAAATGAAGCACAATTTACAAAATATCCATCTTTCAGTATCACAACTGTACAAAGGTTGTTAAAATACGTTTTGCTATTGGCACACCAAAAAGGGGGAAAGGGGGGGGGAGGTGAGAGAGAACAGGAGAACGAGAGAGAGAGAAAAGAGAGAAAGAGAGAGAACACAAACACATTTCCACAGACTCTCTACGGCTAATTTGATTACAGTGCTATTAAGTTACCTTATTTTAAAGGGAGAGAGGTAACAAAACAGCTTAAAATACCCTTTACCTGCATTAACATTGCATAATAATGTTTTTATCCTGATTTTTGTTTCCGTGTTAGCCTCCTTGAGATGCAGCATTAGCAATAAATCAGACAATTTCACTTGTGTAATATAATGGGTAAAAGCAAAAAGGATTAGCAATGATTAAGGACCCATGGTATAAAGAACTCAAAACCAAAAGAAGGCAACATTGTTTTTAACCTCTCTTGCTTCTAAAATGTCATTATTTTACGGTATGTATTGCCATTAATGTTCACGTCAGCCTTTCAGGTTTAAATGAACCATGAAAGGCAGTCCTGTAGAACCAATTCGTGAAAGACTTTGAAAAAGCAGACCACACTGCATACTTTCACTCATTCACCCACATTACTGCTCAGTCTCAGAAAACATGCAGTTGATGAAAGATAGCAGAAGTAAGCAACTAGAGTTGTGACTTGGGCAAAGCGAGTGTTAATATCTTTATGGCAGCACTTTGAGACAAGGCATTTGGTTGGTCTATTTGTCCCCCCCACCTCCAAAAGTACATTTGCATCAGTAGATAGATAATTTTCATAATTTATTACTAGTGGTTGATATCTTAATATCCTCCTCAGAGAGAAAAGAGAAACATATCTAACTCCATCCAGAGGCTGTTTGGCTGGGCACAAAAGGGTAAATCTTAAAATCTTAACCGAAACATCCTCTGCCTCTAGGAGAGAAGCATTCAGAGACCTCAGTTGTTTTTAAACTTCATTAGAAACTCTATAACCACAAACCTCAAAAGGTAAGCCTGAGAAACCAACGTTCTAAACAGATTTTACTCTACCATTTCACCCTTTATTCTAGTTATTATTGTCAGTCTCTAAGCTCAATATCAAAATGAGATCAACATGTGGAAAATCATTAAATTACCCAACACTGTGAAAGAACATGATGTCAGCATGTTAAGGACCCAAGGGGTAAAACTTCCCCACTCTGACAACATTGGCTGTTTAATACAGTATTTTAAAATCTCCTTAACTTTCCCAGGAGATTACACAAAAGAACAGCATGCAAATGAAACAGGTCATCGAGGTTAAGAGATTACCACCCATACACTATTGAAGGCTTAGATGTGGACTTGGTCTACAATGGAAGTTCACATGCAAATCTGTGACATCCCAAAAGAGGGACTCACATCTTCTGTTACACACTGGTGAAGTTATCAAAATTCACCCCAGTGTTGGTCCTAGTTAAGGATGCGTCGATATGACGATAATATAATGGATGCCCTTTTTTTTTGTTTTATTTAATTTGTTTTACAAATTATGGAATCCATTAAACATTATAAAAAAAGATCAGAATGGTGCAGAAAACTAAGCTCTCATGGTTTATCAAACCATCACTAGCACAATTATGAAATGCAATATTTTACTGCATGTCTTGCAACGCGCAAAAGTTCTCATCACAGCCCTAGCCTCACCTCATACTTATGCGCTTATTTCCATGAAGCAAAGAACAGTATGTGCTGCCAATGCATTGCCTTTTGCTTTTTTCTGTGTTTTTTTTGTTAATGAAAACCTTCATGAATATCTGGGGAATTTTCAGCCTTTCAGGGAAAAAATAAACCTAACAGAAAACAAAATTACAATATTGACTGACATTACATAATTACATTTTACAGTATATGGTAATGCAGGACCAACACTTTGGGGCAACTGGCACCAGACAAGAAAAAGCTTATTTGTTTGTAAGATAACAAATGAAGGAAAACGGGAATCCATTGTGTATGCTGAAGAGGCTAATAATTTAGTGTAATGTACAAAATGCAGTTCTTTAATATTTCAGCTGTTCGGAGTCGATACTGAAACGGAGGTGTTATTCACATTAGTATACACTTTGTCTTGGACTTCTTTTTTTTCTTCTTGCCTTCCTTGCTCATCTTCTCCTTGTGCTTTCGGATTTCCCGGACTAATGTGTAAAAGGCGTCATCAACACCCTTAAAAATGGAAAGAAAGTGATGTAAATATGTATACACATAAACAACACAGCAGATTGCACTGTTGGCACCACAATTCACCAGAAACAGAAAAATCAAAACTGCAGAGCTATAGGAGCCATTACTCTCAGCTCCAGGCAGAAGTTGCCCAGCTATGCTGATCTAGAATCAGCTGCAGAAATCCTAACTTTGGCTGCTAAAAAGAGAAACTGCAGCACTCATCAGATCAGCTTACTAGGGCAGGTTCTACCTCTCTCCCCAGCAGAGCCCCCATTGATTGGTTGAGGTAAGGTGTGTCCCAGCAGCCAGCTGCTGGAGAAGCCCACAGGAGGGCGAGAGAGGGCTGGCTCAGCCCAAACTTACCCCTCTTACATCACAACACATTTTTTAAGCTGGATGCAGCGTGGCGTCTTTTCTTCTTTGCTGAGTTTTTTCAGCCGGTATTGCCTGATCTCCCGGACCAGAGTGTAAAAGGCATCCTCCACTCTCTGTAGCGCAAAACACAACTCCCTTCAATGTTAGGGGATGCTTGGGTGCTGTTACAGAAAGGCAGTCAGATGGAATAAGTGGTGGTGGGGGAGCTGATTTAGGCTCAAGTATGACACTGGGTGCCATTAAATGTTCTTATGAAAGAGAATTATCTACAGTGACTATTTCACTTCTGTGTTTCAGTGGTAAATCTTTAGAAAATATAATATTAATTAATAATGCACAGCTAATTAAATCAGGGTGCAGTGAAACAAATGTTAACTGTCAGCACAATTTGAGATGAAGCAGAACTCATCTCACTGTTCTACAATTAGAGACAACATTAAAAATATATACAATTACATTTAAGCAAGTGGTCAAGGGTATTTCTAGAGAAATCAAACAAAGCAACACCCAATTAACCATTAATCATCACTATGGCTTGCAGTTGTATGCAAAATTACAGGTTTTGTTGATTTTCGAAGTAACAGTAAGTCAACATTCTACAGAAAACAAACTTGAATGTGACATTTTTCTGCCAGCTTTAGCGCACATTTTCTATTTAACAGGCCATGTCATATTTTTGTGCCAATATGTTAAATTCAGCAAATAAACAGTAATGTGTAGAAGTGTGCTCTCAGTAAAGGATATGTTCACTTTTTTCACTTACAAAAGTAAGTTTGTTACTTAGAAAACCAACAAAGCATAATTTGACGAGGGGTGCCCATACTTTTGCATACAACGGAATAGTTCAATAGAGAGAGCAGAGAGCATTTTAATGTGATTTAAGATTTTGTGATGTCAGGGTGTACATGTGGCCATGACTGGTAGTAGAGAGGTTGAAAGAGACTGAATCAGTAGTTTGAATTATGTCCCCAGCACCATAAGGAGTTGTGATTTGAGCACTGCAGAGAGACACAGAGAGGGGCTGCCACAAGGGCTCAACATCAGAGTACCCAGACATCAGCAGACCTACTGAACACCTCCCCTGCACCAATCTATTTAGTGATCCCTTTTCTCATGAAACAATTAAACTTAAACAATACTGTTATACAGGGGTACTCAAGAAGGGCCACAGAGCCTACAGGTATTACTTTAAACACTGCCTGATTCCACTAATAAGATCTTCTTTAAAAAAAACCTAATTTGTGCAATCAGGTGTTGTAGACATCATGATTAAAATGCAGCTTGAGCCAATTGGATTAAATCAGTGATGGAATGGTTCGTAATGCATGAAGCAATACATGAAGACTGAGCAGAGTACCCCTGACGTAAATAATGGAAAAGGGGGAAAAAAAAACAAAAACAGGCACAGCAACCAAATTTTCCCCTTGAAAAAACAAACCAATGTTCTGTCATACTGCAACAAATAGCACACACAAGACACAGGCAGGATTTAAATATTATTCAAACATGAATTACCCTGTTGCTTAAAGTTGCATTGTGTGAGATTATGAGCCTTAAAAAATGTTTATATCAACATTATAAATCAAGAGGTACGGTTGAATGTAGTTTCCTAGTGGGCTTCTATCTAGGCATCCTACAGAGTCATCTGTATACAGTCATATGCAAAAGTTTGAATACTGCCTGTCAAACTGCATGGTTTGTTGTTTTTTTTAATGTAAAAATAAGTTACCAATAAGTTTAACATATTGGGGAAAAAAAACAATGTACAATAACTTGCACAGGTCACATTTTAGTTTTTTCTGCCAATGTGTTAAATTCAGCAAAAAACAGCAATTATGCATTAAACTTTGCAGAAGTGTGTTCTCCATAGAGGATGTGTTAACTTATTTTCACTTAGAAAATCAACAAAACATGTAATTTGACCAGGAGTGCACAAACGTTTGCATACTAATGTATTCACTGATACAGTACTTGAAATTCTGAAAAAAAGAAGTTTCGTATTCTCTGACATCATCATTCTCTGTAATCATTATTTTGCATAATATTGGAACTGCCATAACTACTGAACACCATATTTTGCAGAAACCCCAGTGATTCTGGACCGAAAATAAGCTGTGAACTCTTCACTGAATACTCTGAAATTTATATCTGCTACTGCAGTTTCAAGCTACAGGCTAAAGACATCTTGCAAGTGAATGTTTGGTCAAACGTTCTGACAAAGCAAAAAAAAAACAAAACAAAACAAAAAAAAAAAACATGCCCAATAACAGCATTCTGAGAAACTGGACAAGAGCTACACCGGAGTAAGAATTTTAAGAAGTTGCTATAGGATCTAGAGTGACACAGATTGGTAAACAGCATGTTAATATTTACAGATATTATAACAATTCTTTCAAACACATTTTAGTGTGGTCCTTCAAACTTCAGTACCTAGAGTTTTTATTGTACTTTCTTTACAATTCATTCTGGAATTCAGGAATCACAGTTTTGAATAAACTATAATTAACTGTGTAACCATGTAATTAGCTTACTAAAACTGTCCTCAGCATCCTGACATCCAGCATTAAGAACACCAAGCTGTTTTAGTAATATTTCCATCACAGGATTTAAAAGTAAATTCATCAAGCAGCCATTTGAAAACGAGTTAAGAATCACTAATTACTAATTGCCTGAGCTTGATTTAAAAACTTATTAAACCTACCTCAACAATTGAGATTTTTGCTTTTTTCTAAACCGCTTCAGGGAACTGCTTTGCAACAAAAACATCATATTTATGCATTCTGCGGCTGATAGTGTGGTGTACCTGTCTTGTTTTTGCTGAGGTCTCGATGAAGGGAATTCCATAGCTGCGTGCTAAATCCTGAGCCTGCTTAGTATCCACCGTGCGGGACGGCAGGTCACACTTATTGCCCACCAGCACCATGGGGACATCCTCAGAGTCTTTCACTCTCTTAATCTGCTCTCTGCAAAACCACAAACAAAACACGACATGGTAAATGGAGGGAGGTGCACAGGCGGAGTCTACTAACCACATGACTGCTTCTTTTCTCCCATTACTCACCCTGAGGAGCAAATACACAGGGAAAAAGAAAACCAAAAAACAGAGGAATGTGTGCTCCAATTAAGTGTCCTGTATTGCTTTTCCCCCTACTGCCCTCACCTGTAGTGGTGGATGTCCTCAAAAGATTTGGTGTTATTAATGGCAAAGACACAGAGGAAGCCCTCTCCTGTCCTCATGTACTGGTCTCTCATGGCGCTGTACTCCTCCTGACCTGCTGTGTCCAGGATGTCCAGTAGGCATGTCTCTCCATCAATCACCACCTGCTTCCTGTATGAGTCCTACACAGGTATAACGCATATGACGACCTATTAGTCATTATACGCATAGTTAAGGCTAACAAACATATTAGTGTCTGAGTAATTATTTAGGATTATTTTGAAAGTCTGGGCTTTTTTTTAAATAACTAAAACAATAAATTTGGACTTAAATGACCAGTAAAAAAAACAAGCAAAGGCTTTCAGAAATTCCAGAATACATTAAGAAACTTTACAGAAAAACTACTTTACAGAAAAAGAAACTTGGAAGAGGTCAACAAATTATTATATATATATATATATATATATATATATATATATATATATATATATATATATATATATATATATATATTAATGGAGTAATCATGACTGGCCTATTACTATGCTAATACTAAACGCTAGCGTTGACGTAACACAGCTTTATGTGAACCTGTACAGTATCTATCATGCTTTTAGCCAGACAAAGCAGTAATATATTCACATATAGTAATAAAACTAGTAAAACATCCTCAATGGTCGCATGGTTTCACAGATTACCCTCAGGCTATTTAACTTCAAAGGTTAATTTTATAATGCAAAAAAACAGCAAGCTGGCATCTCAATCACTTAACTACGGATTCTAAACCCCAGACACATGTGCCACCAGACTGCTAATGCCAGACCAGGAAGTTAGGAGCCAGTGGCTGAAACCAGAAAAACCAGATCACACTGTGTTTTTTTTTTTTAAACACACCACTTTTTTGGATGGTAGCATTTGTTAGGGGAGTTTAACAAGGGACCTAGGACATACAAAGTCTCCATGTCCCCAGACAGACTTTACCTCTATAGTTGGGTCGTATTCGTCCACAAAATGGTTCTGGATGAGTTGAATGGTGAGAGCGCTTTTGCCCACGCCTCCAGCTCCCACCACCACCAGCTTATACTCAGTCATTCTTCACCTGGATTGAACAGAGAACACAAAAGTACAGGTCAATGGCTCAGATTCACATTTACCATAATGCTTGTGTAAGTGCTAATCACGTTTTTCCTTTCCTTTTTTTTTTAACCACCAAACACTATTGTCCAAGTGGTTCACAATAGGCTACATTAAGCTCCCACTGAAGATATGAGGCCAGCTCCAGTGATATTTTCCTTTGAATACATTACATTTTATCTGTCACACACTGTTAAAATGCTGAGGTGTGCAGAATCACAGCCTAGCTCTAGACAATGCCCATGGAACGGTGTCCAAGACAACGTAATGACTTCAGCAATCATAATTACAGTGCTTAAGTTTCAGTCGTGAAAAGAAGTCTTAATCTGGTGAGTTATTCTCGTACAGGTGAATTTTTATTGTCTGTGAGTCACTCCAACGCAAACAGAGGTCTGGACTAAAAACTAGTCACACCACACTGTCTAAGACACTGGCTGTCTTTACTTGTAGGCCTGCTAACGTGGGCTGAATTTAGAAAAGAAATAAAGCAATACATGGTGTGCCAGCTTCCACATATTAAATAATTTCCCCATTAATTCGTAGTACATAATACATAGCAATTTATGCCTTAACTTTTACAAAATTAGGCCCAAGCCTACCTATATTTGGAAAACCATTATGTCCATCATTCATTAGAAAAGCAAGACTAAGTTCATGGAAAGGAGCCACGGTGTCACGGTGCGTAGAAATACAGCACCATACATACACACACATACATAGCAGGCCTGGCACAGGTTACCATTGTGAAGACAGGCCGTAACTCAGTTCCCTCAGGCTTCTTTGCAGCTGTAGCTAAAAGGCTAAAATGATTAAACACGACCATTTCGGCCACAGTCTTCTTTTAACAGGCCTAACACTGCAGGACACGTTATTAACTCTTGCACTGCACAGCAACTCCTCAAAACTAACACAAATGCTGCAGCGCTTTAGGAATGCTGTGAATTCCGGGCAGCTCGGTTGAAGTTAAAGCCACCACTCCTGTGGCTCCTATGGCCCCTTTGCAGGCCAAAACGAGACGAACAAGGAGTGAAAGAAAAAAAAAACAACAAAAACTAGAGTTGCCAATGTTGAGGGCTAGTTATAAGCTTGAAAGAGTTTCACCGCCATACCGCATAGGGCTGCAGTGCAGTGCAGTGCAGGGCCCAGACCTGCCTGCCTGACTCATAGACTCCTTCTTCTTCACTACTACGGTGGCTATATGTTAAACAACAACAATAACAATACAGCTACAACTACTTCCCACTGTAGGAGCACTAAAAGCAGGCAAACACACTGTGTACGCCGGTCTCCACGATAATCGGCAGGGTTTCTGTAAAAGCTGCTGAACGTTACCTTCGGCGTTTTAAGTTCCGCGTCCACGAATTAGCCACAGAAGTCGAGCGCAGCCTACAGTCCACTCCTCACGACCGAGCCTGCCATGTTTCTGTGTTTTAAGTTTAATTTGGCGCTGTAAGGCTGTCGAACATCTACCGCACTCTCACATTAGCTACCCCGGTCATTCCCCGCTGGGGGAGACGTGTTCTTTTCCTCCGGCTCGACCCGGCCTGCTGCTGCTCCCTGCTCTGCTGTCGACGGACGGACGGAGCTTCAGCTCTTCACACAAATATGGGCGGATACGGTGTGGCTGAGCGCAGCAGCGCTAAGATCACTTACCCAGGGAGCAGTGCACACACGGGGGTTTTCTTTCTGTCTGCCTGCCGGTTTCGGTACTTCGTAACTGCTGCTGGCTGGACGATGAAGCTTAAAACGAGTACATGAGCTGTGTAAGCTGCTTCTTTCGAGCCTCAGCTTGCATCTTTCATTGTGCTCGCTGCCTTAAGGGCGAACTGTGGGTATAAACAGTCCAGATCGATAGAGGCGATGAGCGAGCTATAGAACAGGGCGTTATCAATTCATGAGTAGGTGACTTTTTTCAAGGTTTTCTGGTGTTACAGACTGAAAAAACAGCACGTTAAATCACAATGGGCTTGCTAGTGTCACGTAACCTAAATGAAGTAAAGAAAGTCAGCACAGTGTTGTAACCGGCTTTTGACAAGCTCCATTGAAAGCAGCAGCAGGGCGCTGAGGGTGTCCGAGTTTAAATAGGCCCTAAATATAACCGGGACGTGACGGAGGGACGTCGGCTCGAAGGAGCGACCTGATTGGGCGAGCTCTCTGTCAGTCATAAGGGCGCTGAACCAATGAGCGAATGTGCTGGGCTGGAAGGGATCCGCCTGCAGTGTTTATTATCTGGACAGATGATGCTTACATATTTTCAAAATTAGTAGACGGGCTATTTCCAGCTGCGAGAACAATTGTGCTGTCAGTGATGTGTCTCTGTCAGTCTGAGGAAGGCATGCAGTCTGTCTCGCTGCTTCGTGTTAAACAAGTGGAAGGAAAAAAAATCAGTTTCGGCTCCAGTAGTTTACTTTGGTCCTTCTGTCGCATTGCTGGACTTTATTTGGAGATGTGTCTTCTTGAAGCACAGGCTTCAAATTTATACATCCACAAAGTTTTTTTTCTGTAAGCACCCCCCCCCCCACCCACCCACACACACACACACACTAAAACATTTGGTAATTTTAACATTCTTACTTTTAAAATTCTAACATTTTCTACATTTTAACATCTACATTTTTGTTATTTATTTTTGTTTGTTTTTATTGTTCATTTTTGTTAATTGTGCAGTCCGTCTTCTGTTCATGCATATGTACCATAAAACATATACATACTGTATATCTGCAGATCTAAACGCTGGAAAATGTTGTACCGTTATTATTACTATTATTATTTAATATAATATATTTTATTATTATTATATAATATATTATTTAATAATAATATAATATACTATTTAATAATATATCATATTATTAAATATTATTTAATTTAATATAAATATCCAGGGCAGTTCCTGCCTGAGCCACACAGTGTCAGTATAAGCATTCATTTAAATTGAATCTAGTTGTTGAATAGATGCCTTTACTCTGCATCTCGCAAATCTTAGAATGATCATTTTATATGTGTATATATATATATGTATAAATACACATATAAATGGGTATAACTTTATATATATATATATATATATATATATATATATATATACGCACATAAATGGGTATAACTTAATATATATATATATAAGTTTCTGTCCATCCTTCCACTGTGAGAAGACAACTCAACACTATAGGCCTGAACGGATGTGTAGCTGTCAATCATTAAATGCGTTTGGACTGTGAGAAGCAGAAAATGCAACCAGCTCCTAAGACTGAACTTTGGAGGTGTAGAGAAATATCCCTGCAGATTTCTTTAAAAAAAAAAATGAAATTATGAAATTATTTTGTCTCCCCAAAATAATAGAAGCTGCAATAAAGATAAAGGCCGGACACAGTAAATACTGATAAATATTGTATAATGTTTAGTTGTCAAGGTTTCTGTTTTACTTTATGTAAAATGCATATTTTCTTCTTTTTTCCTGAAAAAAGGTTGTGCAAACATTGTCTCGTTGATATGTTCTCAGATTTCAGTCTATCAGATATGGTACAAACTGAATTTACACACCTACATTACATTACTGTTCTCGTGAGAGATTAATATTGGTTATACAGAGAAATAAAAATTCATACAAACGACTGTTCCAGTCTTTTTAAAGGGCACACATCATACATCTTATATTTTTCTAACTGAAGTCCACCGTTTGTGTGGTTTTATGTAGCCAAAATCAGTCATGATTTATTTTCAGAAGACAATTTTCCAACCTCTCTTTTGAACTTTTGAACTCTTAGAACTAAACAGCCTGTTTTTGTTACTGTTCTGATGTACTAGACTGATATATGTAAATGATCTCTGTTCTGATTGGCCGGCCCTCTACTGTGCCTCATTCAAAAAGCAGTCGGAGCTAAAACACTCTTTATAACTTCAGTGTGAGTGGGCGGGGCTAAACTGCTGTAGGCTGAATAGACCAGTTCAGCTTCTATATAAGGACTGTACGGACATGTTGGTAAACTTTAACAATCTTTGCACGATACGTCAAACTCTCCTCTTAAAAAAATGAAAAACGAAGGAAAATGTGGTTTTAGGCGGTGTGGACCTTTTAAAGATGCTTTTCAGAGGCTGGGTCACACACACCAGAGTGTAGCTTTAAAAGCAGATCCGGCATGCTTTGCGCTGTGTCCATCCCCGCTGCAGGACTGTGGGGGTGTTTTCCTCGGGCTGCTGCTGCACAGCTTGAAAACTTTTTTCCCAGTGTTGGGCAGAGAGCCCTGCTGACTCGTCCTCTCGTTTCATTCAGTCTGCTGCTGCAGGAAGAGCTTCCCGTTGGCTTGTAAAGGCTTTATAACGGATTTCCCCATCCAGGGCGCGTGTTACGCTCAGGAAAATGAACAGATTGCGCTCCGCTGCCTGGCCCTTGAAGAAACTTCAGAGGAGGTAGCGGCCAGTTCGTGCTGAAGAGCAGAGGAGCAGCTTGTTTACAGCTTTCAGGCAAGTCACGAAGGGTTTGAGTAAGCAATCATGAAATGATGTCGCCCACAGAGAGGTATGTAGTGGAAAAAATGAGTTTAAACACGGAGAAAATCGGGAATAGTCTTATTGCGTTTTCCACGCTTCACTAGACTGGACTGAAACAACAGTACGGGGTGATAAGCAGTCTGGCTAAAGCTTACTTGCCTCTTTCAAACTATACATGTTACAGGCTGCTCGCAGTTCACTAAAATTAATTAAGTGTTCCACTGGTTTTACACGAGTAGCCTAAGCCATTTTATTAAATATCTAATCATAATTTTCGGAAAGACAGACAAAAAAGGAGAGACATGCGGGGTGGTTGTGGGATTGCACTTAAACGTATACAGACAGCTGAGCGTTAGCTTTGGATCTAGATTGAGTTTTTATGTCGAATCCATCGACAGTGGCTCTTCAGGGCTTTATATTTGCTCTAATGTTATTTTTTGAAGTATTGTACACTATTTGAGTGATGAATGTAGACTTGGAGCGAATAACACTGTGATTGTGGATTGTCGCACTGTTTACAGAGGAGTGCAGGTACTAGTTAACCTACATTTACCCTTTTTTCTCAGTTCCATGTACTCAAATAAACCTCTGATGAATTTGTACATTCCTGAGCAGTTTCAGTTCATAATCCTTTTCATAATACATTTGTTAGGAAAGGAATCTACTTTTACTCAGTTACAGTTCAGTTTACTAGTTTCTTTTTGTCTGTATTTTATGTTGTTATGTTGGTGACACCATCTGTACTGCTTTATTCTGACTTTTGGGCTTTAGCATTTTATTTTACACCAACCAATCAATCAATCAATAAGTAAATAAATAACAAAAAAGAGAAAAATAGCCCAACAAATTGTGCTGATAGATGCTGGATGTGCTAAGAAGTTCCTGCTGTAGCTGTTCTGTATTTCTGCTCAAGTTATTGTTCAGAAAAATACTTTTACTTTTACTTGAATGTAGGTTTCAGCTACTGTGTGTGTTTTATGTCGAGTTTTAAAAGCGTTTTAGCTTTTCGTTGCTGCTAGATCCTCAGTGTGGTGTGATGATGGATTGACCTTATTAGTGTATGTTTCGTATTCAAACATCAAGTTTGTTGAATCTTACTGATGTGACAACTTTTTTAATTTACTCAGCATACACACTTTAACATGTTCTCCACCTTAGAGTGTCCATGTTATTGCTTTTCAGTATTCCTTATTCTATGGAATATTCAATCTGCCACTACTAATAATTAAAATAGTCCAATAGCAGAACTCAGCCTGATTATGTATTAAATGTAAGACATAATTAAACTACCTATACATAAAAAAGTTACAAATAGTCCTGTAAATCAACATGTCTGTTTATTTTGTGTTTTGTTTATTGCAAGTCTATACCTGACTGCAATATCCAGTCCAATATGTGATGTTTGTAAAGATTTGTTTGAGTATTCTAAAGTGTACTGAAAAAATCATGAGGGTTTTGAAGAGTTTTATGAGTATATAAATTTATATACTCAAAGAGATATCAGAGAAAATTAATACTAACCATATGGTCAAACCTAGCCACCTTAATACTTTGTCCAATAGCACTTTCTCCCTGCTGAAAGCTGGTGCTTCAAAGCTAGTCTGCCATTCACAATCATGGCAAAAGAACAAAGGCGGCATTATATCCAGCTAAACGTGCCATCCAGATGTTAGCAAGTCTGCCAGTTCTGACCTGCTAACTTGTCTATTCTTGAGTTTATTAAAACATCCCAGCCAAGACGGGACTCCAGAAACTCTGAAAAAGGTTTACAAGAGTCGAGGCAGAGCTCTGCAGTTAAATACCACAGAAGGTACACTGGCCTTGCCTGTGGAGAAGACTCTGGTTTGAAATGTCTTTTGCATGGTCCAGAGCCACTGTTAGTTCATTTTGTAAAACCTTTCTTCTCTTAGTGGTCTAAAGTTCCAGGATGCACAAAATCTAATGTGTTTAGCAATAGACTGAATTCAGATTTTACACAAATAGAATCCATGCATAGTTATCATAGTTATCTAGGCATATTTTTGCATGTACGTACTCCAAATCGTAACATTATGGTCCTCTAAATAAATATCCCAGCCAAGAGTATATTTGTTCTCTTAATTTGGCCTTAACTCACATTTTGGGGGTTAGGGGGCTCAGAAAGTGTTTTTCACAGTGAACATATCTTGTACGTCTCTAACTTTGCTAACTCTCACTGAAATCCAAGACCCTCCAGGTTATTGTTTTTACAGGGGTGTGTGAGGCAAGCTGTTTTCCTTCCTCTCTGCTCTCAGATTGAAGGTTTGCTGGGGACATTGCACTCGTTTGCGTGAGACACATGGAAGGGTCACTGCTGTACATTCTTTTTCTCTTGCTCTCGTACTCTCTATCCGATATTCCTGAACCAATCAAACTAATACTGCCAACGTGTCATTTTTTTTAATCGACATCTGGCAATACAGCAGAATCCTCAGTATTGAATTAATGAGTTTGTTTAAGTCCACTTGGGCACAAATGAGCACTGAGAAATTTAATTCAGTACTGGGGATTTTGCTGTGTAGTTAAGTACAATAATCCTTGTGTGTAAATAAGGTGTGAATTTGTGCTTTTCTACCCCATGAGGTGACGACTACGCTGCAAACGATCTGTGGTGGAGTAAAAAAGAGTCTAAAAACCTTGGAATCCTTTGAAAACATGGGTATCAGAACCAAGGCTTCATTATCCACCGTTATTCAGAACTATACACTACGTAGCCAACCTTAAACCCGATATGCTGATATATAAAGCTTAATCTTGAATGCAATCATTCAAGCATCACTTAGAGCTTTCTTGCCTCTCTTTCCTAGCTATAAAAGCATATCAGGAGCAAGATCGTAAGTTCTGGGCTTGCTGGCCTTCAGATCGTGGAGGGGAGAGTGGGAAAGCTTATCTGAGTCATGGCTCATAGCATGCACAGTGGTGTGGAATGTGCAGCCTCAATGTTATCAGTTTCCATGGTCCTAGATCAAGGCTCATATCTCAAGATTGAACCTCTGCATGGTTGTAAGTCTGTGCACAGTCTCAACATTGGCTGACTGACTGGAACATCAGAGCCGCTCTTTAGTGAGTTCTGCTTAGTCGCATGTTTTGGTTTCTCTTTTTCTCCATGTAAAGTAGTTTTATGTCTGTAAGGCACAGATTTTCTTTCAAAAGCAAATTGTCATCCACTGTTTTGTGCTCCTTTTTCCAGTTGAGGGAAACCTCTCGGTTTTAGAGAACGCATGTGCTGTTTTTGTGTGTGGATCCATTTCAGGAGAGGCCTGCAACCAATTACTTCAGAGTGCATAAATTGCTAGTAATTACATGTAGCATGGCAGCTACAGCAAGCACAAGCTGAATTAAAGTTCAGCTGGAAATAGTAGCAGCAGCACAATACTCACACTACAGTGGCTTAGTTACTTTGATAATACTGATACATTAACATTGCTGGAGATGGAGGTGATATTTTCTGTCATTTGTTTTTAATTTGGTCCTTTCCTGTTGTGATTAAAGCTCCTTGCTTGCCGCAGTAGTTCCTTTGTCCTCTTGTCCTTTTGTGAACAAAGGTACGATTATTTGGAGGGGACCAGGGGTAATGAGCGACCCACTGAAAGGAACGCTGTGTGTGTATGTATGTGTGTAAGTGCTTTTCCTGTAACCAGTGGTGTGTGGCCACTTTGTTTTTGTCAAATATTTTGTTATATTTGTGTTACTTTTTTATAATGCAGGTTGAAGCACTTTATCATGTGTATGTATGGCAATGGCTCATGTCAGAGAGAGAAACATTAAGGCCATTAAGTAAGTGTATGTAATATGGGTGTAAGCTTCATATGATTCTAAATGATTAAGTGCATTATAAAATCTCAGATCTCACCATGAGTATCGTTGCCAGGCCCCCCAGAAAATGTTCATTTTTATTTTTCTGCACCATTTAAAAAACAGCAGCTGTCCTTTACACTGTGTGTACATTGTGTCTGACCTCAGAATCACTTGGAAATAAACTTTAAATGTTAAGACTATTGTGCCTTCTCCTTTAAACTTACCATTTTGGAGATAGTTGTTTATTGTATTGGACAGCCACAGTATACTAGATTAGACTGTTGTGGAATGATTTCAAAATATTTAAAAAAAATACCTTGAATAGACAAATGCCACTAGAGGACCTCTTTACACGGTAGTGTAACATAAAAAATAAAAACAAAAAGACAATTATAAAGTTGTAGTAACATACAAAGTAGCTTGAGAATATTATTCCAGACAGAAATGAGCTTGTACCTTTTCATGTGATTGAATATGATTAAATCATTTAAAATCAATTCAGTCGAATCCCCACCTACAGATTGACTCCTCACAATGTAGCGATGTATTTTTACACCCCTCATGTGCAACTCATCGTAGCTTTAGAATAGCCTTGACAATACACAGAAGATAAAGCTTTAGACACAGTCTGAGAGGTAGTTCACCGCAGACACTGTAGCGAGTGTCCCATCTCTGCCAATGCTCTGAGTTCCTGCTGCCTGAGGCCTGTTTGTGCGCAGCAGGCCTTGTCACCTTCTATAGCTTGTCAGTGCTTTTTTCTCTCACCTTACTGACAGCCAGAGAAGAACTCTTTTAACCTTGAGTTTGCTCAAAGGGGATTTCCACTGATTTAATTTTTCTTTTGTTTTTAATTCTGTCATTATGATGTCAACAAAATAGCCTTTCTAGAAAAACCTATTGAGTCACAGTTGTTTACAGTGGTGCTGATAGGAACCAGACGTCTGATGAGTTTAATGCCTTTAAAGGCTGCCTCAAAAAGTTATTATACGAATTGGTCACGAATGATGCCTGAGACATTGTTTTACAGTAGTTTTAAATGTATTGGCCTAAAATTTATTTTTAGATACATTTATGGCTTAAAAAATACACTGTGGGTCGTAAGACAAAAAAGTACCCAAAGAAAACCTATTTTTATCATTTTTACTAATTTTAAACTT